ATGTATCTATAAAATAGCACTAATTTCTACCCAGCCACCTGGACTTGTAACATCCCAGTATTCACTCGTATCTCTTTCTTGGCTTTTCTTATCTATGTAGCTTGATGATGGAATCTTTGAGAACCATCCATCACCTCATGAATTATTTACTGCAATTAAATTTAAGACATTTAGAGAATATAATAGTACTTCCATGACTAAGATGAAGCTGGGTGGGGAGAGTGTACAAAGATTTTCAGTAAACCCTTCAAACTGGGACTTAACCAGGATTTTATTCCTTATTCTGTTCACACCCCATCCTTGTTCAAATTCCCGTTAAAAATGGATTTGCTGGAGTTTGTTTTTGAAAGAGTGAAATGAATTTGGTTTTAGATGAAAATGTATTTTTGAAGGCAGCTGCCTGAGACAAGAGGAAGAGGCCAAACTTAGCCTAGTCATCTGGACAATAAAATTCACTGTGCACCAGGTTGTTACATACCACTACAGCAGCATATCATTAAGTGGAGGTGGTCTCTGCAGGAGGGACTAAAAGAAAGAAAGGATGTGGCCAGAAGGATACTGAAAGCCTACAAATCTTCCATCAGCATTAAGCTTCAGATCTCCATGGATTACTTTTTCCTACTCCTGGACTGAGGGGGAGCCAGTACAAAAGTAAATCAAATTTCACCCAGGTCTATGTAGTGCTATTCAGAAAGAACATTGTTTAATGTTTGGGGATGGGGGATGGGGAGTGCTGAAGAACATTTAGCCTTTCTGAGGCTGGAGAGATGACTCAGTGGTTAAAAGCACCGGCTGTTTTTGCAGAGGACTCAGGAATGATGCCCAGCAGCCACATGGTCACTAAGTCCATTTCCAGGGGATCCAGCATCCTCTTCTGTCCTCTGTGGGCATTGCACGACTTTGATGCACTTACACACATGAAGGCATACACTCACACACATAAAATAAATTTTAAAAAAAAAATTAACATTCAACCTTTCTTAGTTTATTATAATCATATGGAGAAAACTTTGGAAATTGAATTTGCCAAAACCTTTTGGTTTGGTCTTGTTTGAAAACAAAGGCAAGTGAGTTTGGTGTCTCTGCATCCTCTCAGGATCACACCTCTCCTTCCAGATTCCTCTCTGGCCCCTTCCAGCACATCAGTCCCTCTTGCAGCTCTCCATTTTTCCTCTCCTGATCTCCTGTCATTTCGTTTTGCTCTTTCATTGGAAATTTTTTGTTTTTAATTTTCTACTTTTTCTAACTTCAAACCTTTTTCTACCCAACTATATCATTCTTTTAGACTTGAATTTGGTGTAGACAAGAGTTTTCAAAAAAATTGTTACAATTCTCTAGTTGCAAGAAAAAAAATTGTTGTCGTGCCATGAAGGCAAGAAATTGTAAATAAGAAGGAATTCAATAATTATTGAGGTTGTGTTTTACAAATTCTGGTTAATCATACTTTTAATGCAAGTCTTTTTAATGTACTTTGTATTTGACTTGACTTATTTTTTTCTTTGTATTTCTGAGTACACTGATTTTTTTGTTTTCCACATATTCTAATCTATTTTAATTAGTTTATCTTACACAACAACAATAAAATTCCCTCCCAGAATATCTCTCTTCGTGTTATAACTTTATTTCACTTTCTTGGGTTGACTCTTGGTACTGAGGGGAAAAATGGCCTTTAAAAATTAGATGATAATATCTGCAAGTTGGTTTCCAATACCTGGATCAGCCAAGTTATGAATTTTGTTCCTGTTTATGGTCCCAGGTGTGCATCAACAGAGTGAGACCAAGGAACAAATCACTATGGATCTGTACTTCTTATAGTAGTATTAAGTATCAACTTATCGTTTCTCCATTTTCTGAAAATACTCAGAACCAATATTCCTGCCTTTTTGCACAGTGTTGCTGTTTTTATAAAATCACCATCAATTTTATCATAATATAAAAGATAGTAGGTCCCTTTCTCTTAAAAGAGGTCACCCCAGTATGATCATGAACTGACTGCAGGGAATCTTTTATCTCATTCTCATATAAGATAAAGATAATACTTCAAATATTTCTTCTCTAGTCTTCTCTTCTGGAAGCAAATGAGTCACATCCAAAAAAAAAATGGAAGCAGGGAAGCCCATTTTGCAACACAGATTTACTAGAATCAACATATTATCTAAATCAACAGAAATCTAAGGTGTAAAAGCCAATGAAATTAAATACCTTACTAGTGAAGGATAGAAGTTAATTCCAATTTATACCAGCCAGTAATCATAGTGTTAACATTTTTCTGTAACTTAGTTTATTATTTTCTAGTTTTTGAATATCAAAATGTAATTTAAAATGTTTACAACTCTGTAACAGTCACATGAATGTTTATATATTAAAGATTAAACTGTCCTCCAAAATATGCAAAATAAGATTAGAGGGTATGAAAGTTTTTAAATAAATCTCAAATATGCAGCATCTGGTCCTTCATCTTTCCAGGACTATGTTTAAACAGAAAACAAGATTGGAACTCCATTTCCATTTATTTTATATCCACACATTTTCTGAATCAGTATTTTAAAGAGTGAGAAATATCAGAAACATTATTTTTTCATAGAGAGTAAAGGACTTAAATTAAAAAACAAACATTCTTCAGGATTTTGAATTTCTCGGTTGCAGTAACAGACTCCTCCTGGTTTGTATGTGCCCAACTACTCTCACTGCTCTTCACCTTACAGCTCTGTTCTTGATAGTTTCAAAGGTTATGAAATTAAAAAGATTAAAAATAGTAATATTCAAGATGAACCAATGTAGTTATTTCCCTAAAGAAATTTCCCAGTGTCAATCAATCAATCAATCAATCAATAAGCTTTTGAACATATTCTGTTTCTGGTACTACATTTGCAGATATTGGCTTTCCATAGTTTAGGTTTCTGTAATATATATTTATTACAGAGTCAGTATGTATGATTAAATGAAAATTAGTAGCCATGTCTTGTTACATATACTGTAATAATACAATCACACTGCTGATCATTGCAGCAAGTGTGTATGTGTGTGTATTTGCCCAAAATTCTCTAAAAAATTGAAAACTGCACGCATACCTTTCAAGAGATATTTATTTATGCACATTAAAATATTAAATATGATTTCCTAATCTCGAGTGAAAAGAAATTTTTTGCACAGGAAGTTCATTCTGCAGCTTTTGTAAAGAATGACCTGAGGCAGGAAGGGCGTTCAGTAAAGAAATTATGTAAGTTTTTATCAACCTTCCCAGAAGTCTTGCTTTTTATAACTTATGTAAAGGATCTGGATGTGCTTCTTTTTGTATATTCATCCCTTATTTGTAGACTTTTCAATTTATTCAAATTTTATGAATCAGCAGCAATTTTTTAAAAACCCGATCCAGATGTTTAGTTAAAGAACAGCATTATAGTAATACCTTATAAGCACAACTATGCTGTTCACTCTTTAGCTACTATATTTCGAATACAAGCTTTTATTTTCTTAACATGGGGACTTTCTACACTGCCAAGCTGTTTACAAACCACTGGACGCAAAGCATCCATTCTCCTGCTTCATCTTTCCTAGTAACCAAAAAATGAGCACTTGCCATATTCAGTAGCTTTAGAACATCATTTCCTCCAAATAACTTAAAGGATAATGAAGCAGAGTCTAATTCTGAAGAAAGTCCAGGTTCTAAAATTAATGTGTGAAATCGTCAAGAAAATTTGATAAGACCTTTGACATATGCCTGCTTGAGCTATGACTTTGACAAGGCATTTTCTCCTTAACCTCTGAGATGCCAATGCCACTTGCAGCTTCAGAATAGACCCATGCTGCCCACCCAAGTGATTACAATATACAAAATATATATATTTTAATGACTCAGGGACTAGGATAGAGTTTGTCTAGGATGTGTAAATTGCTTCATTCCAACTCCAGCTCCAAACAAATAATGAATGAATGAATAACTAATTCCAAATCTAAGATGCCATTTTATTTTAAAACCAGTGTTTAAGTTTATTTGTTATATCTAAATTAACAAGAGGTGGCTTTCTTCATAATGCTAGTAAATTAGTATTTAAACATACAATTAAATAGTTTCTGTTTTCTTTGATAGAGGTACAATATTGGCTGTAGTTTGGAATCAGTGATCTTATGTCTTATGTCTTATGTCTGAATTCGGACAGTAATTTATTTCTTCACTTCACTTGTTTTACTTTAAAATCAGTGTTTTGGCTTGGGCTTCATTTGTCTTTGTTTAACCAAATGAGGCAGTGCTGTTATCTTATTTAAGGTTTATTCAAATTGGTATGCAATTTCTAGAACTATGTTATATATATATATATGAGAGAGAGAGAGAGAGAGAGAGAGAGAGAGAGAGAGAGCTCCATTTTCTCCATAAGCATATTTTCACTACTAACGCAATTAATGGATTTTACAAGAAGAAAGTTTGCTATAGAAAGCTAGGGTATATGTTCAGATGTATGATTTAAAGGAAAACACAACTGTCTGTCTCATTCACCTTTGATCCTAGAGGTAGGGAAATGCAACACAAAGTTTTGATTTGATATATAATCTTCTAAAACAAATATCTGTAACAATAGAATTATAGATATCCAGCCTGTACTCTGTGCAGACATAGCAGTGTCGGGTAAAGTTAATATTGGGACTATGAGGATAATATTATCCCTTCATGTAAGGGAGAATATTATCCTCATTTTTCACCATATAAACAAATTATTAGACAGAAAACACATTTTGCTGGTCATATAAATGTAGTGTCTCATTTTGTCATTATGAGAATTTTGTGTCTATCTTTTACTACATATCGAAATGTTACAAAACTTCTATAGTAAATTGAATTAGCAATGAGTGGTCTATTAAAAATGTGATTAATTACTAAACAACGTGTTAACATTTTCATTACTTTACCTTTCAAAGGAGAAACAGAGATACACTAGCAAAGACTTAATGATATTACAATAATATTACATTTTCTAAAAGAAAAGTGCAAGAGTGAAACTCACCTCCCAATCCAGGTCTCAGACGATTGTCATAACCATCCAGGAGTCGGTCCAAAATCCTTGTGAAGACAGTGGTATTGTCTTTAAGTTCGTCTTGTAAGGAGGGCTGTCCATAGCTGAGAATGGAATAAAGAAAATAAAGGCTGGAAATTATACATTTCCACCGAAACCTTCCAGCCTAAATCTTTCCCAGAGTTTCTTACTTTCCTTTTTATTGCCTTTGAAAATAATTATAACTCTTGTCATTTTCTCACGTGCGTTCTCACAGATGACAGGTTCTTATTCCAATATTTCTGTAGAAAGGAGGGAAGTTCTAAGAAATGAGTTCGAAGTCCTTATGTTTTCAGTTCTCAATATTTAGACCCGTGCAGTAGGACTGACTTTTTTGAGCCAACAAGAATGTTGGCTCATGCTAAAAGAAAACTCTAGGACGTTTCTTTCCAAATTATACATATAATTGCAAAAAACATATATATATAGTATCTATAATATATATATTGCAAAAACAATTCATAGGTTCCTTTTTCAATGCAATGCACACTTTCCACCTTCCAATCTCCCTTTCATTTTTCATTTACTTCCTATAAATTAATCCTTTGGTTTTGGGATGTTCCTTTGTTATTTAGGAAAGAAACATAAGCAAAACATTTCTTATAACAGCTATGTTTTGCATGGACATGGACATTTCTTTTCCCTTTGGGATAGATGATCTAATTTTGAAAATTTATTCAAATCTAAAATTGATTACCTTCCAATCTCCCTTTCATTTTTCATTTACTTCCTATAAATTAATCCTTTGGTTTTGGGATGTTCCTTTGTTATTTAGGAAAGAAACATAAGCAAAACATTTCTTATAACAGCTATGTTTTGCATGGACATGGACATTTCTTTTCCCTTTGGGATAGATGATCTAATTTTGAAAATTTATTCAAATCTAAAATTGATTGAACTCTTGTTCTTTCTGGCCTTTATCAGTAGACTCTATACAAGTACAAAAGCTCCTATTTTTTTTTTTTTTTTTTTTTTTTTTAAATTTTTTTTTTTTTGGTGGCTGCCATGTCATGCTGAGATTCAAACACAGGTCTTCTGCAAGAACAGCCAGTGATCTTAACCTCTATGGACAAGTACAAGCTCCTATTTTTTTTTTTTTTTTACTAAACTTTATCATTGTTTAAGTGTTTTTGTTTTAGACAGAAGTAGTTAAAAGCTCAACCCATAACTCAGTTTTCTTCAGTTTTTTCTAACACCTTGCTTCCATCCTTTCTGTTCCAGGGCGTAGGTTGTGTTTCTTAGCATTATCAGCCTGACATTCAACCACATAGAACTGCAGTTCAAGCATCATGTGTTTCTTATATCATCACTATGCTGTCTATGCTCCTTGAACCGCATTTTATATAATGATTAGCGTGAAACCTACAAAATCCTTTGAGAGAAACATTTTCTATCTTAGGAGAGATCACACTCTATGACAAATTTCAATGATCGCTCTGACCTTGAGTGGAAAAGTAAATAGATATAAGATGCAAAATGAGAAGCTGTGAGTGATCCATGTTTCATGTTTTCTAGTTATATTCTTTTTGCTTCACTTGTGTGTAATTAATTATATGGTTAATAAATATCAGGAAAATAGTAATATTTTTAACCCAAAATCACTTATTTGACAGGAAGAAAAAAATGTCATCAATTATTCAAAAAGCAAATGCTGTTTTGCAAGTAATTAATTTTATATCAGCAAAATTCATTAATCACTTCTCTGATAAAGTTTTAATTCAATAGTTACTATAATTAAAAGTTCTCTGTGACATTAAATGTATGAAATGAGCTTATCTGAAGCCATTTTTCATTCACCTACATCTAACAGTAATGCATTAATATCACACAGATTGAGGACTTACTCTCCTCTAGCAAAATTAAATATCTTGCTGTTTTAGTTTTGTTTCTTAAATCAAATTTTCAGTGAGGTCTGCGCCTTCCAGCATGTCTCATTGGCAGATGACAGCAGAAAGGCAAAAATAGTTTTCTGAGACTGATTATTTATAAAAATTCATTGTCACAAAACCATATGTCATCTATGCATCTTTCAAGGACATGAGAAGGTCATCGTGATAAAAATGGGAAAGAAAAGCCAATACACCTTTGGTTGTGAAAAACTCTAGAGAGAACTAACGGAGGAAACAATAAAGTAAGAAGGGGAGAAAAGATGAGCTGGTGTGACATAACAGCGGGTGGTTAGATTGTTAAAACCATCCTTAGACTACGGGATGTGTGTTACCTTCACCTGTGGTCCTTCTGTTTTCACAGCTTATGTGACTTGCAAGAACTGTTTTTCTCTCTCCTTTTGCCTTAGGAATCTCACTTTCAGTAATTGCTTGCATTTGGATAGAAGCAACAAAAGGGATCAGCCCCTTCCCAGACAAAACCAGGCCTGCTAACACATTTGAAATGGAAATCTTCCTTGTATGTGATTTTATCATCAGGCTTCTGCATCTTTAATTCTAATTGTGCCCATGTAAAATTATAATTACCAGAAAAAAGAGAAAGGGAGAAAGATAAAAATTACCTATTTGGGTTTAAACACTCATGCCAATGTAGAGTACCTAAACTGAATATGCATTTTGAAAATAAATGTCAGTTACAGTACCTGATTTTGATTCCATATGAACTACTCTATAATAAAACACTGTGCACTAACTCCATCTACAGGTCATTATAGTAGTAACACTTCATATAATTTTTCAAAAAGCACTGAAGATCAGTTAACTCCTCAAACTAAGAGTATCTGACAACAATGTGTGTTCTGTCCATCCGATATTTATATGGTAATATTACAAAATAACAGCAGACAATTTGTCATTTAAAAACAATTCTCAAAAATGTCAGTCTTTCCAGGTAATTTCATCTGCCTTAATTCAAAAAGATTCACTTTTCTGAAGGAGTTCACGTTCTTACAATATGTCTAATATTTTCCTATGAGATACAGGAATATGTTGTACAAGAAGTATTAAAGTAGATAGGGAGAAATATAAGGTACTTGGTTATTTGTACGTTTTCTATTAAAGCCTCTTCTATTCATGATTGGATCATTAGAAAATAATTTGAATAGTCCAAGTTATTAAATTTTCTCACTTGTCTGTCTAGTACATATATTTGCTTAGAGCAGCTTGATGTTTTTTCCCCAGTAGTTTTAAAAGTTTATCTGGTATAATCTGCCTATTTGGTTTTATTAATAATGGTTTCAAAGCATAATGTACGTGTGAGTTTATAGAAATGTGATGTTCAAATTATAAATACTATTTTAAATTTTCTACTTTCATATTTTCAGAAATTGCATTATGATGTTGCAATTGGCTAGAAATCTTTTTCTTAGAAAATCAACTTACTACTTACATGGCATGCAAACATTAATTGGGAAAAGTTTTTATATAACTTAGGAAACCACAAGTTTTGTTCAGTTACAAATGAAATATGTTGAATTAACACATTTCTTAGGAAAGCCTTGATAAGTGTATTCTAACATACAAATAAGAAAATTATTTCTATGTTCTATACTTCTTTATTCTTGGCTGAAATTTTATTGCAGTAAAGTTTTCTGAATTCCCTTAGTCATGAATTCATCTATGAACAATTTCCTTACCCCAAGATAGACTAAATGAAAAAATTATAGAAATTGTCATGCAGATTTAAAAGAAAGTGTCCCCACCTTCTTCCTGACAGAGTGCTCAGAAGGAGAGTCCAGGCCCAAAGATAGTCAGAGAAACCTGGATTTTTCTTCATCACGGGCTTGAGCAGCTGAAAAGTAGAGGGAGTAGAGATCAATGTGTCTTGCAAGAAACATCAGGTTATAACCACTAGGGCTGACTGAGGCAGTTCAGATGAATGCTTTGAAGTCAGGAAATGACCTCACTGGAATATGACACCTCACTGGAAGTAATGGAAACCTGGACCATCCACTCTCCACCTTCCTTTCCATTTCTCCATTCAGAAATATACCAGCATTTTAATTTCTCCTGTAAAAGAATACAAGTTGAAATGCATTCAGGTGACAATATTTTTCAACATAAGAGCTGTGAGTTGTTTTCTCTAGGATTTACACTTTCAACATTTGTTGATTTATTCCCTTATTACTGCTTATCATTTAAAATTTTTGACCTTTCTGATTTAGGTCCCTGTGACTGAACTCAGCACTGATATTTTAAGCTGGTGTCTATAAAGGAGAGAACCTATTTGTAGGTGGGATGAGGTAGGCTTACATGCTCTGTTAACTAAATTCATCTCTAAATTCTGGATGTACCTTGATTTCAGAAGCAACTGTATTTATCTCTTTCTGAAGATGGTTGGAAACACACTGTTGAATGCCAGAGTCGTGCTTGTCTTCTGTGGTTGTGGTTGCCTCGCTAAATATGCTCACTAATGTGAGGCTAAAGGATTCGCTTTATAGTCAGGCCATATGCTAATCTCTCTCTGTCCCTCTCTGTCTCTCTGTCTCTCTGTCTCTCTCTCTGTCTCTCTCTCTCTCTCATACACAGTGCACACAAACATGCCCACACATATCTTGTAAGCCCTCTCTAATTTCTTCCAGGTTGCTGCTGAAAAATGCTTCATTTCAAACAGATGGAAGCTGAAGTGCTTTGCTTTGCATGAAAAGGGGATCTTTATTCCCTCTTAGGTAAAGTGCAATCAATCACTATCTGATTGTTGAATTTGGATGTGGTTGTAGGTTGCTGGAGGAATGAAGTGGGAAAGCTTGTAGGATTATATGTACATATATTATATGTATGCACATAATTATGTATATATGCATATCATTATGGAGCCAGCTTTTAAAAATTCTGTCACTACCTGGTTAAGAAAGAGAGATGCTTATACTTTAATGTACTAAAATCAATTCTAGTCATACCAAGAGAACTATTATAGGTATTTTATTTTACCATTTTCCTGAATCTAAACTCCTTGGTAGGACCAATGATTAACGGATGGAAGCATTATAAAACATATCTTTCATTTAACACTCTATACTCCAATGAGGTATGCCTTTAAGCACATCGACAGAATGCCCCCCACCACTCCGGGAGCATTCTAATCAGTAGAAACCATCACAAACAGGCATGAAAGCAAGGAAACATAATTAATGTGTTCAGAACTGTGAGCCTCACCCAGCTTTCTCTTAAATTAGTGACTGGTTTTGACACACATGAGTAGAACATGACAAGAAATCTTGGATAAATATTATTACGGTAAAACATTGCATCCAAATGGTATAATGATTATTCACCCTTTCATTGATCTTTAACATCTGTTAGGAAGAAGAAAACAACTTCTCTTAGTCCTATTAATTCTCATTGATCTTTATAAGAAGAAGAAATTACTAAACGGTGAGCTAAACAAAACCCCTAGGCAAGAAACCATAGCTGTTTGCACTGCTCACTGAGACAGAGGAAAACAAACCTGCCACAGCACTTCAGTTGGGGAAGAAAGTTTCTTGCAAATACAAACATAATAGTTGAAAAGGGAGAACGAAACTGCCTCCTCTTGTCCACCTCCATCCTGTCCCCAAGCAGACACATATTCCAATACCTATCTCCCATGCCACTCAGAGCATATACTAAGTTGAGCTTCTCATTTTCCAAATGGGAGAGACCCCTACACCAGAGGGCATTCCAGAAGCGGCTGCTGGAAAGGGGTAAAGGCATTTTCAGGCTGGGCGAGAGAGTGTCTTTCCTAGGATGGAACTGGGAGACAGGTTTTCTGTCCCAGCATCTCAACTTTGGGTGATGACTCCCCCCATTCTCCCTCCCCAATTCACCCCAGCTCCCCTTGGCCAAAATAATAATAATAATAATAATGGACCAAAACAACATGTCATCACCCACCCGGAGGAATACACTGAAATCTGCCTAAGAAAGGAGGAAAGAAGGAAGAGCCAGAGACTATAATGCTCCCATTTCTCTGCAGTTTTCACCCTGAAAGAAAAACATTCGTTTTTTTCTACCTGCTCTGAGCCCCAGCTCCTGTCCTGCTCGCTCTTGCTCTCTCTTTCCCCACTGGAGCATCCCTGTCTCTCCAGCTAGGACAAAGACACGTTGCAAGCTCTGGGTGTTCGCGGTCCGAAGTCGCACTTACCTCGGGCCCCCTCTGGGCACCGGATCGCTCAAGACCGGGGAGAAAAGTGTGCGAGAGGATCGCGGAGAGCCGGAGCCGCGCGAGTGTGCGAGCGCGGGCGCGCCGGGTGGAGGGCGTCCCTGCGCCGCGCTCACTCACTTGGTCTGAGCCATCATGGACTCTGCGTGCTCCTGCAACGAAGATTTCACACCCAAATTTGCTTCCCAATATCCAATCTGCAGCTATACAACAAAAGATTTCTCTGTACCAAGACAGTAGTAATACGTCCCAGCGCAAACCGGATGTGAAATAGGCGGTGACTTCATGCCAGAGATTTTATTTTAGAAAGGAAGGTGGTTCCAGCCACTGGATCTGGACACCAATCCGCCCATTTTTTATATGCAGCGCAATTTAACTTGCATTGCTCTAGACTTAATCTCCTCTCTAGCTGCAGACACAAATCCTTCTACAATCTGCTGCAAACATTCCTTTTTTGAGGAGTGGTTATGAATGGGGGGGAGGGTAGAAAGGGTTAGAGTCGTAGGTCGGGGCTACACTTAGAACCTTCTCTCGCTAGCAATGTATGAGGACACTACTCTAAGGTGGTCTCATTAAAACACAACTGATCGGGATAACTCTTCTGCCTTCGATCAAATATTAAACCGCTGCATCCACATGAATGAACGCAAACAACAAAACAGGGAGATGCAAGCTTACACGTGTGCAAGGCACTCTGTCCTCTCGCCTTGCTCTCCCTCACACACTCGCACACATATGTCTAAATCCTTGCGTGTAGCAGAGTCAGGACCAGTGAGGACTGGCAGGGAAGAATACTGGCCAGTAGGGAATGGGTCCCTGGGTTGAGAGTCCTTCGCACTTTCTGGGCTTTTGAGTGCCTTCCACCCCGCCTTTCCTCCTTAGCTTAGAGGGCAGTCAGAACAGGCTGCAGAACCACGATTTTTTTTTTTTTACCTTGGCTGAGTCTGTTGCCATGAAGAAAACACAGATACTTTTAACTTTGAATTGTGCTGGGTTCCCGGACCTGGAATATTTAACTTAACATAAATCATTTCTGGGTTTGAGAGTCAGATCTCCATTTCCGGAATCATGCCTTTGCTCTGAACCACATCATTCTCCTATCAAAAAACTAGGAAGGGGAGGAGGGATTTTAGAAGTCAGGGAAAAAAAAAGCTTCTACTTTTTTTTTTTTTTTTTTACTTTTTTTTTGTGCCCTCTTTTATTACCTTCCCTGGGAGATCTCCACCCACAGATAATTATAAACTCAGGGAAGGTGCATATGTATGTGCATGTGTGTGTGTGTGTGTGTGTGTGTGTGTGTGTGTGTGTTAGACACCGTTCTCACTAATTTTCAGGAAATGAGAGATGACTATAGAGCCTTGCTCTTTATCTGTTTTTGTGAATGGCTGTTTGTAGCACAGCTGCTATCTTCTGGGATGTTCACAGGCATCACCTGCACACCCGAAGCTGTCCTTTCAGCACTTTATGCCAACTGGTAGGAAATACTGAAAAGGTGGGACATTCTCACATCTTGCTTCTGGTGGATAAAGTCCTCACTGTGGTAAGGCCCCTGGCCACGTTGCACAGGTAGACTTCTACTAAAGAAGATATTTGGGATAGGGGCTGACTCTGGCCAAAAAAAAGCAAAGAATTAATCCATCCATATCACTTTTGTATTTGGGATTCTACAAGTGTTCTTGGCTTATGAGGCAAGCCAATCAGTTTATAAGATTAAAACATCAAGTTAAGTGCCTGCAGTGATGTGGCCCATGCAATTGAAGGCCACATTCTAAAGGTGACTTTGTTCTTTTGTGACTTTTGAGGTGATTTACTAGAAAATTGTTTTAGAGATAAACATTTCGAAGAGAGATTTGAAGATTGTCTTAGGTGTCCCTGTTTCTGCACAGTAGTTAGCTGGCAAGGAATAACATGAAAAATTCCAGTGCATTAAGATAAACATTGGAGAACATTTCAGCTTCCCTGTGTGACATCTTCTCATTTTGTTTAACATTAAGCAGTTTGTTAAGTAAAATTGACTTTAATAAGGTTTTGAAAGCCCAAGTTAACAATTAGAAAGCATTTCATATCTCTTCACATAAAATACAAGTTCACAATTTTGTTTTGAAAAAGCAGCCACAAAAATGTGATATTTTAAGAGTTCTTTTCTTCTCCTGAGTAAATGGTAGTAGTTCCTTTTACTGTTCTTTAAAAATTGATGAAAACTTTAGCTTTTATATCCTCTAGCTCCTATGTTGCACAAGCAAATCTCTCTATTGATTATGATGTTGTAGATATTGTCCCTAAAACTTTATCATTTAATCCCAGTCTCTGAGAAAATTCCAAACATATCCTGATTCAGACTAATCATGTGACTAAAACCACATGAAGCAGCACATGATCCTCATATATCTAAATGCAAATATATGGATAACTGTGAAGTTATAATGTTAGCATAGAAATGGAAATGCAAGGGGCTGGAGAGAGATGGCTCAGTGGTTAAGAGCACTAGTTGTTCTTGCAGAAGACCCAGGTTCGAATCCCAGAACCCACATGATAGCTAACAACTGTCTGTAACTCCAGTTCCAGGGGATCTGACGGGCTTTTCCGTCCTCCACGATCATTGCATGACATGGGTGCACTTACCTACATGTAGGCAATATACGCAAACATATAAAATAATAAATAAAATATTTTTTAAAAGAAATGGAAATGCATGAAAATATAATACAAAGTTAGACTCTTTAGGTCATTTTCTGTGAATGCCATTCTGGATCTATCTTTCTATCTACAAATACATGTTTAATATGTTTTGTGTATATATATATGCATTTGCTTCAGGACATTCATGCTTTAAATAAATAAAGCACAGATATTTAAAATCTTGATCATTTGTCTACTCTGAATCAGTAATCACTGTTCTGAATTCTGAGTTTGTTTATTGTTTCCCATCTAAGATGCAATTAATATATTCTCATAATAGCAGATAAAACACAAAAGCTAACAAGAATGAAATAATTCATTTATATTGTCTTTTACATTGATTCTTTTAGAAACTTGATGACATTATCCTTTTCTTTTTAGATTTGGAATAAATCTCATCAAATTATGTATACCTTTAATGAAATAAGTTATTGAAGTAGCAAAGAACAAGTCTAACATTCTTAAAGTACTTATTTTGTTCAAGTATATCATAGTTAACTTGCAGAGTTTATTTGATTCTCAAAATAAGCCTTAATGTACCTGTACTACAAATTCTTCAATATCTGTGAAATAGAGAGGTCAACACTCTTACCCAGTGTCACACAAATCATGAGCATCCATGCTGGGATGTAAACCTGAATCCCCAAAGCTTACTCACATCTCTGTCTCCACACTTACATTAGTCTTTTTCTTTACTATGAGTCTGAGGGCTCATATCAATGTCTTTTTTCATTTGCTTTCATTTCATTTGTTTTTATACCTATACTTGATCATTTCCATATTAGTCAGATAAAATCTCACTCTGAGATCAATAATCATTTCAATTTTCAACAGTTACAGGAAATCTGGAGCAAAGGGATATATTTATTCATAGGAAGAGTACAGCACAATATTTAATTAGTATTTCGGAGGTTTCTACTATTTTGCTTCTGTCTTATGAAGCCAGTAGTCAAGACCCTTTTAACAGTTACTAGTTTTTGGCAGAAGGGATTTAAGGTCAATCCTAAGACCAGGGATCCTAGGGAGGCCAAATAGCTTTATCTCTAGTGTTGCAGTCTGGTACATTTTGCTTTTTCTGTCAATTTTAAATGGCAGGAAGCCCTGACCTAATTGAAAAAGTGGTGCTAATTCTATTGAATAGAAAACTGCTTTTACTTTCCCAAACCAAATATGTACCTAATAAGAAGAAAATAAGGAGTGTCCTTGTTTATTCCGTGAACCTTTTAACCATTAACAAACTAATTTTAGGTGAAGATAAGAAATAAGTAAAAATAATAAAATATTAAGTGAGTTTTAGCTGAAACCTAGAATAAAGTGATTTGTAAAAATGTATTGGCATAGCTCAAATATATACACTGAAAATATTTCTGGATATTAACAAACTGAATCATTTCATAACTTGTAAAAGTTGCAGTTGGACAGTTACATTTATTTTTATATAAATGAATAATTACATAGAGAATTTCCCTATTATATAATAAGACTATGTTACTTAGTGAACCATATATCACGTAGGATACCCCTTCTATTATAAATATACTAAAATAAAATAAATGAGATTTTAAAAATCAGATGTGTTGTACCTTGAGAAACTATTGCCATCTAAGACACAATTGTTGCACATCTAAGACAGAATTTTTTCAGGTTATGAGACCAGTTTAACATGTACAAGTATTATGAAGCTTGTAAACATAACGTAAAATGAAATTTAAAAAAATCTTTACATTTGAGTTATAAATTTCTTGCACCGTGGTGGTACAGATTATTTACCTTAACCGCAGTGGTAGATTATAAATAGCATATCATTTCTCCCAGAGTTTACAGAGAAAGCAAATGATGGTGCATGTGCTGGACAGCTTTATGTCAACTTGACACACCTGGGTTGAGGGAGCCTCAATTGGGAAATTGCCTTCATTGGACTGGCCTGTGGCCATGTTCATGGGGCATCTTCTTGATTGTTGAGTGATTGTGGGTGGTGCCACCCCTGGGAAGGTGGGCCTGTGTTGCATAAGAGAGTAGGCTGAGCAGGAGCCAAGGGTGTTCCTCCTTGGCCTGTGCTACAGCTCCTGCTTCCAGGTTCTTGCCCTGAATTCCTACCTTGGGCTCCCTGATGAACTGTGACCTGAGAAATGTAAGATAAAATAAACCCTTTTCTCCCCAAGTTGGTATTGGTCAGAGTATTTTGTCACAGCAATGGAGAAACAAACTAGGACAGTGCATGACTGTGCATCTGGAATCACTGACATGTAACAGCTATGTGGCCTTGTGTGTATTCCTGAGGTCCTTTGCCTCTCATTTATTGAAATTTTCAGTGAAGAAGTGATGCCTCATATTTAAGTTGTGGAATTAATAGGAAATTAATTCATTGAAGTCTCTTGTTAACACTTAAAAGGTATTTAATAAATAATTTTTTTATCTATTCTCTTAACTAAAATTTATTATTTCACCATAAGTTAATGCATCATTTAAAGCACATTCATTTAACTCATAATACTGGAGGTACGATTCACATTTGCATAGACTATAACTAAAACCCAAAATGGTAAATTATTTTCCAAGGTATCAAGACAGCCTAGTTGTTATACCATCCTAATCTGGGGACTATACTATTATTTGTAAGGTATTCTGAGAAAATTAATGATTCCCAACACATTTCTTATCGAGACAACATTTTACATATTCCCCAAATTTAAAAAATTGAATATGAGGTGTATTAGTTACTATTCCATTGCTGTAATAAAA